GAATAAACGTGCTCCGTGCTACACGTCTGTTTCCTTGATAGCTGGGCTATAGCTTAGCTGGTTCTGGGAGTCTAGTTAGATTTTGGAGAATCTGCCATAGAGATTTCTGAGTCGGTAAGGCTTTACTAAGATAGCAATCCGCTACAAATTGGTGACCCTAACATTGTTATTTACCTCTAATATTTAATGTAATTAATGTACCAAGGCAGACTGACAAGTTCAGGCGAGTTAAATTCTACTCTAGATGATCCATAAAGCAGGAATTCTGTTTCTTCGAGTCATTTTAGTAAGTTTACTACGAATTTTTATAAGTTATATTAGTCTAAATACTATTAAACTAGAAAATCTAATTGCGGCATCACTGCTAACCCCTTTGTCTTGACTAGATTTCAGCTTGTCAAAAGCGGCTAATGAGGCTGATGGATTACCTCAAGCTCACATCCAGGAATTGTTCATTGGGGAATCAATAAATTTGTGTCTTAGAGAACTGTTTGCGGTCGTTCTATTAGTAACCACTTTTCTTGAATAAGGGCTGAAAAATTGTTGGTACTTTAATTGGGTTCACCAACGTACTACATTACAACATAACTACTGATTGTCTGTTAGTAATGTCGGTTGATAAAAATGGATTGCTATAATTAAACAAATTTATACCATTTACTTAATTATTGGGGTTATCAAATTAAAAAAATTCTCCTTGAATCATTTTTATTAGGGCATTTTTAACCCTTAAGACTAAATTATTGAAAGCGTTAAAGGGATTAATGTGGCGGTGTTGGCACACCTCAATTGAGTTTCACTGTTGAGAACTGAAGATCACTTAAGAAAAATCTCTCATTTTGATTGGTTAGTTTCACTTTAAGTAGACCCCAAGCTTGTGAGCATTCAAGGTAATGTTTGAGTGAGTAGATTAACAAGGTGGTAAGTTTTAAATAGCTTCAATATAAGCGTATTTTGGCTATTTTATTGCTTTGTCCCAATGATAACTATTATAAATTAAATGCATATGCGTTAATTGCTTCGCGAAAATTATTCAACGAAATAATTTTATAACAGGAGTAATGTGCATAGACCTATTTCAACTATCATCGATTCCTCTAAGACACTCTCAAATCCCTGTTGATGGGATAGTATAATATCTGTATATCTGGCGATTTATTTTTTCATTTATTGATTGGAAGTTGCGCTAATTTTTAAATGAGTTAGGTGATTTGGTGTATATGGAATACGTGTTAAGTTAATATCAACAAGCACTTTGTTTAACGGATCAATATATATATATACATATATATTCTTTTCAATATTATATTGGAACAATACCTTTTAATTTTCAAAATTATACTAAAGCTCGTACCTTTTAGTAGTTAATAATGGGCAGACTCGGGGATACCGTCGGAGACTGGGCTAGATCCCATAAAACGCTTTGCCTAATCATCTCCGCTTGTGTCCTAATTGTCGGCCTCATTTTGATTATTGCTGGAGCTTTCTTAACGGGCCTCAACGGTGGTGAGTGGAGCGCTAAGAATGAAACTTTTAATGAGTTTAACGAACGCCAAAGGTGAGTTTATTTTTTTTAAAACTTTGTATACATTAATTTATTATCCAGTAAGTGAGTTAATTACTGTACTAACTCAGGTGGAATTTGCTGAACTCCACTAAAATTAAATCTCGATTGGTGGCTAGAGCGTAAAGGTAAAAAAAATCCATAATTTTATAGCCAAGAATCTAAATTAATCGAATTCCCAAATAATTGCCTCCACATTAAGAAATTATATTTAAAACTAAAGAGAATGATTTATGATATTGAAATGCGTGGGTAATATCAAAATTTATACGTTTTTTGTCGTTAAAAAGTCTGTTTTATTCTGCAATGTGACTAAAATCAAATAGAAAGTTTCACGAAATCACGAAAGAGGGCAAAACGTGAAAGACTTTGAATGTTGTGTTAAGAAATAAGAAAGAAAGTCCTAACGCATCAGGTTTGAGCTTACAATAGTGTCATAGCAGAAAGTAGGTGTCAAAGCATGTTGCATTCACTTTACTGAGCTCGTTTGAGATCATTTCTTACAAAATTGCATATATATTTAACTCAATCACCAATATTATCTAGAATCCCGATATAATATCTCGGCCTTTGAATATGGAATCGTGAGGAATTGAAGCAGCACATCAGGCATTTAAAATCAAACGAGATACGTAATCAGATGAAGTTGGAAATTCGAAAAAGTCAGAAATTTATTGACTATTTATTAGTATTTTCTAATTTACTGGACTCCGTGCCTCCTCCTTTTCATATATATATATATGAAAATATGTAAAAGAGTACGCATAAAAATAGCAAAGCGTGTTGTGCTGAGGTTTTAAGAATAAAAATGGGAACTTTTTCAAAAGTAGCCCTTTTGTTGTACTTACATGAAAGAAATCTATAGGGACTAAATGAGAATTTTGCAAAATATGCAAAATGTGGCAAAATTCATGTTAGGTAGAAATTAGGTGAAAAAAGGCAATGAAAAGCTCGAGTTTTTTCGAATTTTTTGTTATAAAGGACTATAAACTCCTTCGATTGTGTCATTTTAAGTTTCAATTTTTAGTTGGATCAGCTTAACTTCTTGAAACAAGCGAAATTCTTGTCATTGTCGATGTTGAGTTTACCATCCAATTCCCAATTTTCTATTTTTTAAATAGATCACCTAATGCTGTGTTCAGCCAATGTATGTGCTGGACAAATTACAAGTTGGTAATTGGCATTCAGTTTGTATTTATTTGGAGAATACTCCTGAATCCTGTTAGCCGAAATGTATTCACCCTCTCACACCCCCCTCCCCCCAACCTCCTCTCACGGGTTTTGCAACTGAACATTAAAGTTAGCCATAGATGTGACTCTTATGCTTTGAGTTTTCTAATGTTCTGGCATCATGGGGGTGTTTCAAATTCAAGTATGAAGAGTAATTGTTTTCAGGAATGAAGCCTCCACGCACTAAGCAGTGAAGTTGCTAAAGGGATTTACAGATATGATAACGATAAGACACTCCAGAAGCCCTTTAAAATTAAGTATACTATTAAAAGTCTATGTTCATTTGACAATTTCGAATCATTGATATAGTCTTCAAAATATGGCCTTATGCTTTGTTTCATCGTTCAACGGACTTTTTTAAAAAAGAATTGGCTAAGTTAAATCAATTCAATCAAATAAAATAAAACCTATTTCAAAGCATTTTATAAGATTTTAAATGCGTAAGACAGCCAAATGAAGTTGGGGGCGACATTTTTATTCCGTGTTTTTTTTGTATTAAATAAATGAACTGATTTATTTATATAATTAAGACCAATGAAATTATATGGATCTTTAACTACACTACTGTTTCCACTCACCAGAGATTTGTGTTTTGGTGTGAAAGTGTGTAGCGGATTGCTACCTTAGTACCTTAGAACCAGCTAAGCTATAGCCCAGCTATGAAGGAAACAGCGAACCAGCTAAGCTATAGCCCAGCTATAAAGGAAACAGACCGAAACTAGCTAAGCTATAGCCCAGCTATAAAGGAAACAGACGATAATTCGGAACACGTATATTCAGTCACGTAATGATCAGAAAAGTGTGCACGGAGCACGTTTATTCAGGACGTATCTTGCGGATCAAGTCACGTTTATTCAGGACGTATATTGCGGATCAAGTGTACCCGCTTATTCAGGACGTATATTGCGGATCAAGTGTGTACACACAGAGTATATTGTGGATAAAGTGCACACGCAGGAACGTATATTGCGGATCAAGTGTACACGCAGGGAGCTACTCGATATGCCACGCAAGAAGTGTATACAGGAAGGAAACTCAGTCAATACAACATGGCGGATTTGGTAAAAACAAGGAGGGTCATTGAGCTCTATTGGCTGCGTGCTCTTGTCCTCAATCAGTACGCGAAGTTGTACGGCCGCACCTCAAGCCTATGTGTACGCGCATGCGATGACGTGTCCCACAAGTGCGAGGAGAAAAGTTAGTAATTTAAGGCAATAGAATATCAGGCAGATAATAATTAAACAAAATCAATAAAACATGAGAAACCCCTAGGCAAGTCTAAGTTAAGGAAAAGGTTGCTTTTATTAGAATATAATTTGCATCATTCATATGTTGGTAGAATAGAGTCTGTTGTAAATAAAAAGGGGTTCGCTTGAAATGCGTTTTGCATAATTTACTTAATTAAAAAAAACAAAAACTGGTTTGCATTTGTTAATTGAATTTGATCCCAAAATGTCCAAGTTTGTAAATTCGATTCAAGATGATTTTTCAATGGTAAAACGAACATAGGTGTAATGGAAACTCCACATACACCTCAATGGAAATGCGTTTCTTCTTAAAGCATTTCTTCCAACACGGAGGAACAACTGGGAAAAATGACGAGTGGGAAAGAATAGTATTCAACGTCAGTTCATAAATCAAACTATAAAAAGTACTTGTCGTCCAAAGACTTCGTTTTCTGTACCTTTATGATTGCCTCCTTTTAACACAATTTGAAATCTCTCTGATTCGATCAGAATTTGTGAATTGATTTTCATGGGATAATGTCGAGGGGGGGGGGGGGGTAGAACAGATATACTTAAGCCCTGATGTCTCAAAGGGAGTTTGTCAGAGCCAGATTCAATAGGCTGATCAAATGCTTAATATTAATTTATCCAAGTCAAATAATTAGTATAATCGAACCTTGGGTGAGTGAAGTCGTTCAGTACATCTTAAATTATATCCTATTAAGAAATTAGATATTTATTGTTCATTCTGGAATACTGGTGAATGTCGAGGTGTGTGAGAGGGTTGTGATGGGGTACGCATTTAGCGTAAATAGTTGGAATGTGGACAACTACCGGCCTGTAGAGGTCGTTTTAAAATCGAGAGAGTGTGAATGAGACTTATTCGGATCAATTCAAGTGCAGCTTTAACTCCGATTCAAAGTACTTCGAGGTGTGAAAATGTCACAAACAGAATGAAAACAAGTATCTGAGTAGTCAACAGAATTATTATATTGCAATCAATTCCATCAGTTTGATTTGAATGATCAACCTGCAAATCATTCACAACTCAGAACACAACGTAAGGTTCTTGTCTCAGTTATGTGCCTTTTACATTCCCTAATGATGCCTCGTGGCCTTTACACTTAATTACTGCCACGAGTGCATGTTTTTGACATCCACAAATCTTCACCAAGAAGACTGTTCCATTAACCACGTATATGTGAAAGTTAAGGATTTTTGCCAATTGTATCACATTATAGTCGTTTTTCTGACTTTCAAGTATGAGACTCAAGATGGCATTAAAAGATTAATTGATTAGTAATAAATTTATTAATTGTCATATCGACTCTTTAAAAATTTATGACGGCTTTTTACTTAATACAAAACCATTTTACATTAATTAGTCGTTACTTTGGAGGAATTGCAATGATTCTTCT